GATCCCCACACCAAGTCCCCTCCCAGCCACAGCAGAAGGGGAGCACTCAGGTCCCAGAGGGATGCAAGACCCAAGGCCACCAAACTATGCCAAAGCCACCACCGTTATGGCAAAAGTACTTTATTATATACATAAGACTCCAGCCACACTCCACAGGGCAAGGACCAGAATTTGCTATTTTACATATCAATACAAAGTAACTATAAAAACATAAAGCACTTTTGGGGCCCAGGCTTTCCACAGGAGGAGAGAGGCACAGGGATGAGCCTGGGGGCTGCTGAGTGACAGGGGGCTGCCCCACACCCTCCCCCAGCTGTGGTCCCACAGTAACCAGATGTGCAAGTAGGAAAGAACCCAGTTAAGAAGTATAGTCATGGGGACTAGCAAGTGGGGGCTGTCCCACGGCACACTGGGGGTCAAGCCGAGTGTCACCAGGACAGGAGTGGGGTCTGCATCCCCCAGGGAAAGTGCAGAAGGCACATGGGCCAGGCTCTTTGGAGGGGCTGTGAGGAGGAGGTGGGATCCAACGGTTAGTGCATGTGGCGCCCCGGGAGATCACACACACACACCGCGCACAGGGGACATGGAGCAGGGGAAAGCCTTCCACTAAACTTAACCAGGGGCCTGGAGAGGGCATGTCTCCGGAGCAGCAGTTGCATAGCAGAAGGGGCTCAAGGCCCACTCTTGACAAGTCATTAGGTTTCACTCTATACATCCAGGAAAAAACAACAACTCCTGCAATGGAGGGAGCGCTGGGAAGGAAGGCCCTCCCAGCTCCAGGCTCCATCGGAGCTCAGGTCTCAGCATCCAGCTGGTGTTGAAGCAGATGCTCCACCAGACAGCCCTGCAGGCAGGAGATGGCCACAGGGTACAAGCTTCAGTTGTTTTAAACTGGAAGTGGAAAACATAGAAAGCTAACCAGAGCACCCTCCTGCTCCCCTTCCAGAGGGCTCCCAGCCCTGCCACGGCCAGCTCCAAGGACAACTGCTCAGTCTCCTACCAGGAATCCCACCCCCCTTTCACACAGGAGACTTCAGTGCAACTGGAGAAGGTGAACCAAGGAGGGCTGCTCAGCAAGAACAGCCTTTGTAATCATCTACCAGAGGATGCCTTTGCTGCTCCTGACCCAACAGGACTATCCTGGGGCCGCGGGCACAGCAAACAAAACCAGGAGCACCACGGGCCAGGGGAAGGACCTCCCCTGTGCAGCCTACAAGGCTGATGAACCAAAGATGGACAGTTCCACCAATACCCCCAAAGACGCAGAGCCCCAGTCTGCTTCAGGCGTCAGCAGGACCGATGTCCCTTCCCCTCCCGCCCTGAGGGCAGTACACTAACGTGGAGGGAGCTCGCCTGCGCTGCAGCTACTTGCTGGAGGAGAACTTGGTTCCCCGGGGCTTTGCCATCGCAGCCCACCTGAAGGTCCAAGGCAAGGAAAGGAAAACAGTGAGGAAAAAGGAGGAAGGGGAATCACATCTTGGGATAAGTGTAAGCTTCCACCACACCACAGAAAAACTACTTGGACTAGGTTCTCCTCGGCTGCCCTGGGGAAAGGCACTGAGCCAGCTTTGTGCGAGAACAGAGATGTTTCCGAGTGACCTAGTGCGTGGCTGGACCACCCTCCTCTCCCCTCCCCCCCCCCCACCTCTGGGGTAACCGAGCTCCGTGGTCAACACGATCCCCAGGGAGGACGTGTGTGGCAGCTTCCAGGAGTCAGAAGTGCAAGGGGGACAGTCCAGCCCCACGGCCCAGCCCCTCCCCTGCCATTACTGTGCATTGATTGTCTAGCCAAACCGGGCTACAGTCTTCAGTTTAAAAAGGGGACCCCCAGCCTCCCTGCTCTAGAGGAGCTTCAGTCACAGAAGCGCTTGCGGGGCACCGTCCGAGCTCGGTTCGAGCGGCGAATCTCCTGCTTGGCATCACGGCATCGCTGGCAGATGAAAACCTCAGGCACGTTGGATTTACGGATCTTGGCACAAGAGAGGTGGATCCAGGTAGCACATTCGTTACATTCGATCATGGGCCTCCCTGCAAAGGGCTTCAGGCAGAAGCAGGTGATCAGATCCCAGGCATCGTCATCTGGTCAGGGAGAGAGACACCGGTCAGAAACCACCTTACCAGCTGCAGGTCCAGCTGTGGCCACACTAGCCAGTTCCACCGGTGTTAAATGGGACAGCCCCCCACTCACCTTCTGCTTTGGTGTTGGGAGCTGCTGCAAATTCGACTGCTAAAGTTGCAAAAGGGGGGAAAAAAGACCCCACGGCCCAGCCCCTCCCCTGCCATTACTGTGCATTGATTGTCTAGCCAAACCGGGCTACAGTCTTCAGTTTAAAAAGGGGACCCCCAGCCTCCCTGCTCTAGAGGAGCTTCAGTCACAGAAGCGCTTGCGGGGCACCGTCCGAGCTCGGTTCGAGCGGCGAATCTCCTGCTTGGCATCACGGCATCGCTGGCAGATGAAAACCTCAGGCACGTTGGATTTACGGATCTTGGCACAAGAGAGGTGGATCCAGGTAGCACATTCGTTACATTCGATCATGGGCCTCCCTGCAAAGGGCTTCAGGCAGAAGCAGGTGATCAGATCCCAGGCATCGTCATCTGGTCAGGGAGAGAGACACCGGTCAGAAACCACCTTACCAGCTGCAGGTCCAGCTGTGGCCACACTAGCCAGTTCCACCGGTGTTAAATGGGACAGCCCCCCACTCACCTTCTGCTTTGGTGTTGGGAGCTGCTGCAAATTCGACTGCTAAAGTTGCAAAAGGGGGGGGAAAAAAGAGGGGGGAAAAAAAAAAAAAAAAGACGAGATGAGCAAGGCGCCTCTACACCCCACTTCAGACGTGTTTCAGGTCTGTACTGCTCACTCTGCAGAACAGAGCTGCCAAAGGGCAGGCCAGCTCCCAGCTCCCTGCCCTCTGCTCTTCAGTCCTCCCAAGTCCCAAAGGCACTCCTCTTGCTAGGGGAGGCTCGGGCCATGGACAAGCCCTCCCTGCAGCCAGCACTGGCTGCAGCTGAGGGAGGGCAAATATTTGGTACTGGCTGGAACACAACAGGGCCCTCTGTGCTCCCTCGGACACTCACCACTAAGCTGGGAGCTCCCTCTGCTCGCATCTTCCCCTTCGCTTTGGTCCAAGGTACTACAAGAACTGGGGCTTTTCCTCCCTCCAGAGCAGGGGTCGTGCTCCTTTAGCTGAGGATCATCTGCTGCTGGCTTCTCGGTCCCCTGCGCTCCGTGCATCCAGTCCTTCTCCTCCTTCATCAGCTCCTCCAGGAGGGAGTTGGGCTGGGGGTCCCCAGCTGGGTTGAGAGAAGGCTCCAAGAGCTGCTCTTTCATGGGAGGCACCTGTCCCTCCAGTGCAGCCAGCTCCTTCACCCCGTCCTGCTCTGCCCCAAAGCCCTTCCCAGCGCTCAGTGGCACCTTCTTCTCCACCTCCTGCTCCAAAATGAGTTTCTTTGCTGGTGGTTTCTTCCGTTTGGTTTGCTGGGGCCGGACATCGTAGAAGCTGGTGGGGAAGGCAGGGCAGCTCACGAGCAGGCTGTTGTCCACAGCCCCCCGGGCCACAGCGTTCCTGCTCCTCCCGTCATCCGTCAGGACGTGGCAGTCGGCGGAGTGGGACGAGGCCCAGCTATCGCTGTCCTGAGTGCTGCCCGTGCTGTTCTGGGGACTCATGCTGCCTCCGTGGGTCCAGGGCTCATTCTGCAAGAGGGGAAGATGCAGGACTAGCACGGGAGACTGCAGCGCAGACATTCAGGGTAAGGAGGAAGGGGCTGGGGATGGAGAACGACCCTCCAGGAGAAGAATTAGGAGCTAGGTCTGCAACCAGTCTTTTTGCAGAGGAAAACCCCGCAAGCCTGCTTACCTCTTCAGGGTAGGGGATGTAGCCTGCATAGGCCAAAACGAAGGTGCAGAACTGGTTGAAGTCCTCCACAGTTCTCTGTCGTTTCTGCAACGGCTGCAACAAACGCCACGTCTCGATTAAACTCCCCGGATACCCCCACCTGAGCCGAGTATCACAGCCGACCCTGGCAGCCAGCCCTGGACCACCAGGCAATTATACAGGCACATAATATTCAGGTCACCCAAACATCCATCCTTCCTGCAACCCATCTGCATCATCTGGCTCGACAGATGCAGCCCTTCCCTTTAAAACCCTGATTACAGGTGGGGGGGACACACAATGATGACACGATGGGACACCCAGAAAGCACAGCAGCTGCCCGGCAGAGCGTGAGTCAGAGGCTCGGGAGCTCCGGTGCTGGGGACGTCCGTCTGTCCATCCGTCCCCCCCCCCGCCTGCCGGCTAACTCAAGGCCAGAGGGAGAAGGCGCCGGGGCTGGGAGGGCACCCGGCGATTTGGGCTTCCCCGGCTGCTCCCGGGTCAGCCGGAAGAGCCCGGAGCCGCTCGGGACGAGGTACCGAGG